ATCCATCCATCCATCCATCCATCCATCCATCCATCCATCCATCCATCCATCCATCCATCCATCATCCATCCATCCATCCATCCATCCATCCATCCATCCATCCATCCATCCATCCATCCATCATCCATCCATCCATCCATCCATCCATCCATCCATCATCCATCCATCCATCCATCATCCATCCATCCATCCATCCATCCATCCATCCATCCATCCATCCATCCATCCATCCATCCATCCATCCATCCATCCATCCATCCATCCATCCATCCATCCATCCATCCATCCATCCATCCATCCATCCATCCATCCATCCATCCATCCATCCATCATCCATCCATCCATCCATCCATCCATCCATCCATCCATCCATCCATCCATCCATCATCCATCATCCATCCATCCATCCATCCATCCATCCATCCATCCATCCATCCATCCATCCATCCATCCATCCATCCATCCATCCATCCATCCATCCATCCATCATCCATCCATCCATCCATCCATCCATCCATCCATCCATCCATCCATCCATCCATCCATCCATCCATCCATCCATCCATCCATCCATCATCCATCCATCCATCCATCCATCCATCCATCATCCATCCATCCATCCATCCATCCATCCATCCATCCATCCATCCATCCATCCATCCATCATCCATCCATCCATCCATCATCCATCCATCCATCCATCCATCCATCATCCATCCATCCATCCATCCATCCATCCATCCATCCATCATCCATCCATCCATCCATCCATCCATCATCCATCCATCCATCCATCCATCCATCCATCCATCCATCCATCCATCCATCCATCCATCCATCCATCCATCCATCCATCCATCCATCCATCCATCCATCCATCCATCCATCCATCCATCCATCCATCCATCCATCCATCCATCCATCCATCCATCCATCCATCCATCCATCCATCATCCATCCATCCATCCATCCATCCATCCATCCATCCATCCATCCATCCATCCATCCATCCATCATCCATCCATCCATCCATCCATCCATCCATCCATCCATCCATCCATCCATCCATCATCCATCCATCCATCATCCATCCATCCATCCATCCATCATCCATCCATCCATCCATCCATCCATCCATCCATCCATCCATCCATCCATCCATCCATCCATCCATCCATCCATCCATCCATCATCCATCCATCCATCCATCCATCCATCATCCATCCATCCATCCATCATCCATCCATCCATCCATCCATCCATCCATCCATCCATCCATCATCCATCCATCCATCCATCCATCATCCATCCATCCATCCATCCATCCATCCATCCATCCATCATCCATCCATCCATCCATCCATCCATCCATCCATCCATCCATCCATCCATCCATCATCCATCCATCCATCCATCCATCCATCCATCCATCCATCCATCCATCATCCATCCATCCATCCATCCATCCATCCATCCATCCATCCATCCATCCATCCATCCATCCATCCATCCATCATCCATCCATCCATCCATCCATCCATCCATCCATCCATCCATCCATCCATCCATCCATCCATCCATCCATCCATCCATCCATCCATCCATCCATCCATCCATCCATCCATCCATCCATCCATCCATCCATCCATCCATCCATCCATCATCCATCCATCCATCCATCCATCCATCCATCCATCCATCCATCCATCCATCATCCATCCATCCATCCATCCATCCATCATCCATCCATCCATCCATCCATCCATCCATCATCCATCCATCCATCCATCCATCCATCCATCCATCCATCCATCCATCCATCCATCCATCCATCCATCCATCCATCCATCCATCCATCCATCCATCCATCCATCCATCCATCCATCCATCCATCCATCCATCCATCCATCCATCCATCCATCCATCCATCCATCCATCCATCCATCCATCCATCCATCCATCATCCATCCATCATCCATCCATCCATCCATCCATCCATCCATCCATCCATCATCCATCCATCCATCCATCCATCCATCATCCATCCATCATCCATCCATCCATCCATCCATCCATCCATCCATCCATCCATCCATCCATCATCCATCCATCCATCCATCCATCCATCCATCCATCCATCCATCCATCCATCCATCCATCCATCCATCCATCCATCCATCCATCCATCATCCATCCATCCATCCATCATCCATCCATCCATCCATCCATCCATCCATCCATCCATCCATCATCCATCCATCATCCATCCATCCATCCATCCATCCATCCATCCATCCATCCATCCATCCATCCATCCATCCATCCATCCATCCATCCATCCATCATCCATCCATCCATCCATCCATCCATCCATCCATCCATCCATCCATCCATCCATCCATCCATCCATCCATCCATCCATCCATCCATCCATCCATCCATCCATCCATCCATCCATCCATCCATCCATCCATCATCCATCCATCCATCCATCCATCCATCCATCCATCCATCCATCCATCCATCCATCCATCCATCATCCATCCATCCATCCATCCATCCATCCATCATCCATCCATCCATCCATCCATCCATCCATCCATCCATCCATCCATCCATCCATCATCCATCCATCATCCATCCATCCATCCATCCATCCATCCATCCATCCATCCATCCATCATCCATCCATCCATCCATCCATCATCCATCCATCCATCCATCATCCATCCATCCATCCATCATCCATCCATCCATCCATCCATCCATCCATCCATCCATCCATCCATCCATCCATCCATCCATCATCCATCCATCCATCCATCCATCCATCCATCCATCCATCCATCCATCCATCCATCCATCCATCCATCCATCCATCCATCCATCCATCCATCCATCCATCCATCCATCCATCCATCCATCCATCCATCCATCCATCCATCCATCCATCCATCCATCCATCCATCCATCCATCCATCCATCCATCCATCCATCCATCCATCCATCCATCCATCCATCCATCCATCCATCCATCCATCCATCCATCCATCCATCCATCCATCCATCCATCCATCCATCCATCCATCCATCCATCCATCATCCATCCATCCATCCATCCATCCATCCATCATCCATCCATCCATCCATCCATCCATCCATCCATCCATCCATCATCCATCCATCCATCCATCCATCCATCCATCCATCCATCCATCCATCCATCCATCCATCCATCCATCATCCATCCATCCATCATCCATCCATCCATCCATCCATCCATCATCCATCCATCCATCCATCCATCCATCCATCCATCCATCCATCCATCATCCATCCATCCATCCATCCATCCATCCATCCATCCATCCATCCATCCATCCATCCATCCATCCATCCATCCATCCATCATCCATCCATCCATCCATCCATCCATCCATCCATCCATCCATCCATCCATCCATCCATCCATCCATCCATCCATCCATCCATCCATCCATCATCCATCCATCCATCCATCCATCCATCCATCCATCCATCCATCCATCCATCCATCCATCCATCCATCCATCCATCCATCCATCCATCCATCCATCCATCCATCCATCCATCATCCATCCATCCATCCATCCATCCATCCATCATCCATCCATCCATCCATCCATCCATCCATCCATCCATCCATCCATCCATCCATCCATCCATCCATCCATCCATCCATCCATCCATCCATCATCCATCCATCCATCCATCCATCCATCCATCCATCCATCCATCCATCATCCATCCATCCATCATCCATCCATCCATCCATCCATCCATCATCCATCCATCCATCCATCCATCCATCCATCCATCCATCCATCCATCCATCCATCCATCCATCCATCCATCCATCCATCCATCCATCCATCCATCCATCCATCCATCCATCCATCCATCCATCATCCATCCATCCATCCATCCATCCATCCATCCATCCATCCATCCATCCATCCATCCATCCATCCATCCATCCATCCATCCATCCATCCATCCATCCATCCATCCATCCATCCATCCATCCATCATCCATCCATCCATCCATCCATCCATCCATCCATCCATCCATCCATCCATCCATCCATCCATCCATCCATCCATCCATCCATCCATCCATCCATCCATCATCCATCCATCCATCCATCCATCATCCATCCATCCATCCATCCATCCATCCATCCATCCATCCATCCATCCATCCATCCATCCATCCATCCATCCATCCATCCATCCATCCATCCATCCATCCATCCATCCATCCATCCATCCATCCATCCATCCATCCATCCATCCATCCATCCATCCATCCATCCATCCATCCATCATCCATCCATCCATCCATCCATCATCCATCCATCCATCCATCCATCCATCCATCCATCATCCATCCATCCATCCATCCATCCATCCATCCATCCATCCATCCATCCATCCATCCATCCATCCATCCATCCATCATCCATCCATCCATCCATCCATCCATCCATCCATCCATCCATCCATCCATCCATCCATCCATCCATCCATCCATCATCCATCCATCATCCATCCATCCATCCATCCATCATCCATCCATCCATCCATCATCCATCCATCCATCCATCCATCATCCATCCATCCATCCATCCATCCATCCATCCATCCATCCATCCATCCATCCATCCATCCATCCATCCATCCATCCATCCATCCATCATCCATCCATCCATCCATCCATCCATCCATCCATCCATCATCCATCCATCCATCCATCCATCCATCCATCCATCCATCCATCCATCCATCCATCCATCCATTTCATTGAACACAGTTGCTTTGTGCAGCACTCACATAATACGTATTGTCAGGAGGAAAAAAAACAGAGGTGTTTAAGGTTGGAGTAAAACCACCATGAAGAAGATCTAAAAAGCTCAGGGTAAAAAAGGAAAAGATGGTTTAAAAGTAGACGGCTGACTTACATTGGACGGCCAGGTAGGCCGAGGCAGACGGGGGTGTGCCCATGCTGTTGCTGGGGGAACAGGTATATTTCCCACTATCCTCTGGCTTGACTTGGATGATGATGAGGGAACCATCAGTGACAATACTGACTCTCCGTTTGAGGTCACTGTGAACGGGAAGACAAGAATGGGATCAGTCTTTCAGTCTGACTTACGGATTACTCCAAAGGCAGTTAATAATTAAATCTCTTTTGAACATTTAACCCTTAGTTTAAATATTCTTAATTTCAAAGCAAGAAAACCTCTTCTTTTTGTAACTTTGTATCGTCCACCAGGTCCTTACTATCAATTTTTAGATGAGTTTTCAGAGTTCCTTTCTGATTTGGTATTAAATACTGACAGGGTCATCATAGTGGGAGATTTTAATATCCATAAAGGATAGTAAAGGCGATAGCTTAAGAGCAGCCTTTAATGCTATCTTAGACACTATTGGCTTTGTTCAAAATGTGAATAGTCCCACGCATTCTCATCTTCATACTTGGATCTTGTGCTGACATACGGCATAGAATGTGAAGAAATAACAGTATTTCCTCACAACCCTGTCCTCTCTGACCACTTTTTAATAACTCTAAGGATTACTTTAACAGAGTTCTCCTCCCCCAAAAGAAGGTTTCACTTTAAGAGATGATTATCAGATAGTACAGTTATAAATTTTAAAGAGTCTGTTTCACTTTCTCTCTCCTGTTTCACTGAGCAGGGCTGCAGAGTGCAAAAGCTTAGTTTATTCCCCTTCACAGGTTGATGGGGGTGCTAGTTCTCTGCGTACTGCCTTAGACAACAATGAAAACCGTTAAAAATAGAAAGCTTGCTCCTTGGTTTAATGCAGAGCTGCGTACTTTGAAGCAAAATGCTAGGAAACTGGAGAGAAAGTATCGCTCCATAGGCCTAGTGGAAACCTACCTAGTCTGGAAAAATAGGTTACTGCTGTATAAGAGGACCCTTTGTAAAGCAAGAGCAGACCATTTCTCCTCATTACAGGTAGCTTTTAAGGTTTCTATAATTAAACCTTTACTTAAGAAACTGTCTCTTGACCCAGATGACTTGGTCAATTAAAGACCTATATCCAATCTTCCTTTCTTATCTAAAATAAAGTAAAAAATCTTGGTGTTATTTTTGATCAGGACCTGTCATTTAAATCCCAGATCAAAGAGGTTTCTAGAATTTCCTTCTTTCATCTGAGGAACATTGCAAAAATGAGAAATCTCCTGTCCAGGGGTGATGCTGAGAAACTAGTCCATGCATTTGTTACTTCAAGGCTGGACTATTGTAATTCTTTACTATCAGGAAGTCCACAAACTGTAGTTAAAAGCCTTCAGCTGATCCAAAATGCTGCAGCCAGAGTTCTGATAAAAATTAAAAAGAGAGATCATATCTCTCCTATCCTGGCTTCTCTTCATTGGCTTCCTGTTAAATCCAGAATAGAATTTAAAATCCTCCTTCTCACATATAAAGCCTTAAATGGCCAAGCTCCATCTGATATCAGAGATCTGATTGTTCCTTATGTTCCTAACAGAGCACCTCGCTCTCAATCTGCAGGTTTACTAGTGGTTCCTAGAATTTCTAAAAGTAGAATGGGAGGCAGATCTTTTGGTCATCAGGCTCCTCTCCTGTGGAACCAACTACCAGTTTTAGTCCGTGAGGCAGACACCCTGTCTACTTTTAAGGCTAGGCTTAAAACTTTCCTTTTTGATAAAGCTTCTAGTTAGAGTGGCTCAGGTTATCCTGAGCTATCTCTATAGTTATGCTGCTATAGGCTTAGACTTTTGGAGGACATAGGGACCCCTTTTTCATCATTCTGCTTCATTCTATCTCTATTCTCCCACTCTGCAGAATCTGTTAGTTCAATCTCTAACGTTCTGCTCTCTCTGCTTTTTCTCATAGTAGCTTCATCTGGTCTGTTCCTGTTTGGCTGTGACTCCATCCTGGAGAGAAATATCAGCTGTGCTGCTGCCATCAACACCTTTGTTTCTAGATGTTGGAGCTTGGCCTGTTTTTCAGTGTAGACCTGTTTCTCTGACTGTGACTAACTGGATGTGCTCTCTTCATCCTCTGACAGGGGAGCTGGCTCGGAGCTCGTATCACTGGCTGTGTGTTTCCTGGATCAGGCTGCCTTTTATAGTTCCTCTCTGTATCTCTGCTTCTGTCTCCTTGAACCCCAGTGGGCCTCAGCAGATGGCCGCTCACACTGATCCTGGTTCTGCTGGAGGTTTCTTCCTGTTCAAAGGGAGTTTTTCCTCTCCACTGTCGCTACAAGCATGCTTAGTGAGAGGGATTGCTGAAGAGTCAATGAGTCGATGCAATCAACTGGTTGTCCTTAGATAGAAAACTTTGAATCAATCTGACTGGATGATCTGGTGAATTTTAGAGTGCCTTGAGATGATGTGTTGTGAATTGGCGCTGTAGAAACAAACTGCATTGAATTGGATCAGAACCTTAGAGCCTGTCTGTTTTTTCCAGCTGGTTCTATTGTGGGAACTTCTTCTGCACCACAGCTCCTTCCTGATGGCAGTTTATTTATATAGCTGCAATTCACAATTCAACCAGGTCATACAGTCAAATTAATTCAAAGTTTTCTATAAAGGGAAAACCATTTGATGGCATCTTTTTGGACAATAGGCTGACAGGAAAGGGGGTAAGAGTGAGAGAAATGCAGCAAATGACAAAAAAAAAATTTTAATTACTGACTTTTTGGTGTTTTTAAAGTGTATGGCGATCTGACCTTAAATAGTTTTTTATGTACATGACTGAAGGGATAAATGTAATTCTGACGTCTTTCGCATGCATATCGACTATAGGTATGCTCATCTGACAGAACAGCGGCACCTTTTTGATTAGCCAGATGAGCGAACCGCTCTAATCACTGAGCTAGAAGAACAAACAGTAATGAACATGATCATAACTTTACTTCTTGAAGAAGACGTTGTCCTCCTCCCACAACCAGGTGAACGTCAAGTTGCCAGGATAGGCCTCGGCACGGCAGCTGAAGAATGCGTCCTGCGAGATGTTCACCGTGATGTTGACTGGTGGGGACGTGATGAAAGGAGGACCTGGTGGGACAGAGAGAACGGTTTCACCGTATCCAAAAACAAGATGGTGGCCTAGCGTCTGTTTAATCTAAAGCTCTGCAGAGAAATCAGCAATGAATCAGGGCTGATTTGGGAACTGGGAGCTCCCATCTCGTCGCTCTGGGGACATCACACATCTAGATGAACAGGGTCAAAGTTAATCTTTGCATTGTTAGAAAGAAATGCAATTGAAAAAGAGTCAGAGGAAACCAAGAGACCGGTCTGCTGTAAAAGACGGACTTTCTGCCAACTACAGAAAAACTGGACAAACAAAACGTTTTTTCATTTGATCGTTTAAGCTCTTACTCTTCATCTGTATGAGCTCTGCTGAGAGCAGCTCTTAGAGAAACAGAAAGCAAAGTGGTGTCATACTGTAAAGACGCTGCTTTTGGTCCTAAATGTAACAGAAAAATAAAGGTTTGTTTGGGATAATCCTATCAGGAAGGAATCGACCATCAGGATTTCATCCTGGTTTGGATCACAGTCACAACCGCAGTAAAAAAAAATAAAACCAGTATAAATGTTTCTCTGGGCAATTTTTACACAGCGCACGTAGCGGTAAAGAGGGAGGGATGCCCACCAGTGTAGCTCCTGTGAGCCCAGGCCAGCCCGACCGGATCCAAGCTAACACTAACGTCCATAGGGCACCAGAGAGGAGCACACAGATCCCAGATTGGCCAAGAACCCCACCCAAACAGCTACCCACCCAAACAGCTACCCACCCAAACAGCTACCCACCCAAGCAGCTACCCACCCAAACAGCTACCCACCCAAACAGCTACCCACCCAAGCACCTACCCACCCAAGCAGCTACCCACCCAAACAGCTACCCACCCAAACAGCTACCCACCCAAACAGCTACCCACCCAAGCAGCTACCCACCCAAGCAGCTACCCACCCAAACAGCTACCCACCCAAACAGCTACCCACCCAAACAGCTACCCACCCAAGCAGCTACCCACCCAAACAGCTACCCACCCAAGCAGCTACCCACCCAAACAGCTACCCACCCAAGCAGCTACCCACCCAAACAGCTACCCACCCAAGCAGCTACCCACCCAAACAGCTACCCACCCAAACAGCTACCCACCCAAGCAGCTACCCACCCAAACAGCTACCCACCCAAACAGCTACCCACCCAAACAGCTACCCACCCAAACAGCTACCCACCCAAGCAGCTACCCACCCAAATAGCTACCCACCCAAACAGCTACCCACCCAAACAGCTACCCACCCAAACAGCTACCCACCCAAACAGCTACCCACCCAAGCAGCTACCCACCCAAACAGCTACCCACCCAAATAGCTACCCACCCAAACAGCTACCCACCCAAGCAGCTACCCACCCAAATAGCTACCCACCCAAACAGCTACCCACCCAAACAGCTACCCACCCAAACAGCTACCCACCCAAACAGCTACCCACCCAAACAGCTACCCACCCAAATAGCTACCCACCCAAACAGCTACCCACCCAAGCAGCTACCCACCCAAACAGCTACCCACCCAAACAGCTACCCACCCAAACAGCTACCCACCCAAATAGCTACCCACCCAAACAGCTACCCACCCAAGCAGCTACCCACCCAAACAGCTACCCACCCAAGCAGCTACCCACCCAAACAGCTACCCACCCAAACAGCTACCCACCCAAACAGCTACCCACCCAAACAGCTACCCACCCAAGCAGCTACCCACCCAAACAGCTACCCACCCAAACAGCTACCCACCCAAGCAGCTACCCACCCAAACAGCTACCCACCCACCCAAGCAGCTACCCACCCAAACAGCTACCCACCCAAACAGCTACCCACCCAAGCAGCTACCCACCCAAACAGCTACCCACCCAAACAGCTACCCACCCAAACAGCTACCCACCCAAACAGCTACCCACCCAAGCAGCTACCCACCCAAATAGCTACCCACCCAAACAGCTACCCACCCAAACAGCTACCCACCCAAACAGCTACCCACCCAAACAGCTACCCACCCAAGCAGCTACCCACCCAAACAGCTACCCACCCAAATAGCTACCCACCCAAACAGCTACCCACCCAAGCAGCTACCCACCCAAATAGCTACCCACCCAAACAGCTACCCACCCAAACAGCTACCCACCCAAACAGCTACCCACCCAAACAGCTACCCACCCAAACAGCTACCCACCCAAGCAGCTACCCACCCAAACAGCTACCCACCCAAACAGCTACCCACCCAAACAGCTACCCACCCAAACAGCTACCCACCCAAGCAGCTACCCACCCAAATAGCTACCCACCCAAACAGCTACCCACCCAAACAGCTACCCACCCAAACAGCTACCCACCCAAATAGCTACCCACCCAAACAGCTACCCACCCAAACAGCTACCCACCCAAACAGCTACCCACCCAAATAGCTACCCACCCAAACAGCTACCCACCCAAGCAGCTACCCACCCAAACAGCTACCCACCCAAGCAGCTACCCACCCAAACAGCTACCCACCCAAACAGCTACCCACCCAAACAGCTACCCACCCAAACAGCTACCCACCCAAGCAGCTACCCACCCAAACAGCTACCCACCCAAGCAGCTACCCGCCCAAATAGCTACCCACCCAAACAGCTACCCACCCAAATACCCATGAAGTCGAGCAGCCCAATCCCTCCACCTCAATCCGGACGCTCCGCCACCGGGCTGGACTGACCTGTCAGCCCTCCCAGGGACAACACCGCTCCAGACCCCCAGCATTCACTAAATTCGGGCACACACTGTAAATATTTTTACTGATTATCCAGTCATGCAAGAATTTCTATCAGGCCGACTTTCAGCCTGAACGTGCATTGTGTAGTGTACAGGCGGTAACGAGGGCCGATCTGCCTCTAACGACCACCTCCATGTCTTTGTCCAAATACATTTTCTTTTTAGGGCTTTCACCACAAAATTGCACAAATTGCCAAGGCAGCTCGTTTCACTAGTGAGCTTTATATTCCTCTTCTACTCGTTTGGCTTCCGGACAGACGAGTCTGAGTAGCACCATCTCACTGCCAGGCTGAGTCCCACCTGGTTTTTAGACGTACACTGTGAGCAGGTAGATTACATCAGAGCGTCAGGCGTGCAACAATTTCCAACTTTATGAGTTGGAAAAATAGTTTTAACACTTTTCTAAGTGAGAAAGTCCCCTCCAAACATCGTCTGTTTATCAGTTCATGAGGATTATAATCCCACTAAAATCTGCAGTTCTTGTTGGGAGCTCCAGCATACCGCCGGGAGGCAGTGCTGGAAATCTCAGCTGAAAGCTCTCTGCTGCGGCAAGCCTGTGGGGGATTTCCTGCTGCTGTTCATAGCAGCTGAAAGTAAATAGAAAGAGTTCTTAAGGTTTGTTCTAAAACCTGCAAGTACCAGAAAATACAATCGAATATTTCCATCAGCATGTTATAACATTTCTAGTTAATTTGAGTATTTATAAACTGTTTCTCCATAGTTCATAAAAAATGTTTTAGCGCAGCAATAATGATCAGAGCTGCTCTCTTTTCCCTCTAGATAACAATTTATTCTACCTGCTTTTTTAACATTTTGGGAATTAACTCCTTGGAATTTATTTATTTTTCATATGCAGAATGTCTGCAGAAGCGAGGACTGTTTGCAGCTAGTTTGTGTCTCCACAAAATACTCCTGGATCAGCTTTTCTGATTGGTTGATGCTCCGGCGTCCAGCAGCAAAACTTAAATTTTTAAACCTCATCGACTTTGCGTGTAAATCACAGAAAATACGGCCGGAGTGAACACAGCTTTAGACATTGATCCTGATTTTGAATTCTTTGATTGGACTAACTTCATTCAGTTGTACTACCGCTACTCCTTCTGATCAGGTCTTCTTGGTGTCCTGATTTACTCCATCTGCTCAGGTGGACCAGCTACTCGCGACCACTCTCTGCTCCAACTTTTGGAAATAAACCTTTAAGTCTGTTTTCAGCTTTTTTCTCTGCTTTGAGGTCCAGTAATCCTCACAGACGTCCCACTCTGCCACCATCGGTGAGGAGATAAAGGTAGTTCCCCCTAAAACCTCTACTAGATAAAAACATAGTCTGAATCCATGATGAGGGATAAATGGAGATTTTCCTATTTTTCTGATAGAGCAGAAAACATCAAAGGAATAATATGCAGGAGATTTGATAAGAGGGATTTTATTTAAATCAAAGATGAATACAATTTGAACTGAAGACTTCATATTTTCTAATATGTAGCTCTAAATATTTGAAGACCTGTATTAAAGTTGGACTCCAGATTAGTGGCTGTGATGTAATTGTGGTTCTTCTCAATTAGTCAAGAAAAAAGGTTAAAGGAAAAGTCTGGTTAAATTCAAAATACAAACTTCTGAAAGTCCTTTAAATCTGAAATTATTCTTGCAGATAGATGTGCTGCACATCAACATACGCACTAAACACTAACTGAGCTACAAACATTTCTATAAAAAAGCCTCAAAGGAGGAAAAACGTCTGAAGAAATTATGAATTTGACTGTTTTTCTCAAAAATAAAAATCCATTTTCATTACTGTATAATTATAGATAGTTTATGGTGGGAAATAAAGGAAAACTCCGGTTATATTCAGAATACAAACCTCTGAAAGTTCTTTAAATCTGAAATGATTCCATCCTGTTCAATAAATGATCAGTGTTTTTAATTCAGAGTAATTTTCATGTGAATGTGCTTTACTGGAGGCATCCATGTTTGTCAAAGAACATTACTGCCACCTACTGGTTAGTGACGTCACGGTGCGGTATCGGCTGTTGATCAAGTCCCAGTGCTGTATCTGGTGTTTGTCACAACGCGCTATTATCCAAGTCATCTTGAAAACATTCTTCTTCCAAATGTTGGCTACATATTACGGGTTTTTTCTCTGGCCAGAAGTTCGATGGCAAATCCTCCCTCTTCAAGTTGGCGATCCAACGACCAACCCGTCCGTGGAGGATCAGGAATCAGAAAGGTGGAATAACTAAT